CATATTAATGTTCACATTATTTAGTGCTGCAGTAGCGGAATTGAGCCGTGACAACTCGCACTTTTCAAATAACACTGGAGTCATTTTCAGTTTGTAGGTGTTTTACCAACTAGTTATCTGAAGGCAACAGACTCAACAGTTGATATAAAGCACGTTGCTGTCGACATACCTGTCTATCAGTCTTTAGTCCGGCTAACAGATGGTGGAGCTGGCAGTGTTTTAAAAACAGTCGGCTGTTTGTATGGAGTGTCTCCACCTTGATCTTCCAAGGCTATCTAGAAGCTTGTTTCTGTTAAGCTCTGTTTTAACTTCTTGTGAAAGAAGTTTTGCTCCCTGAACATCAACTACAACTCACCACTTTGTGCAGGGAATAATAATGTTGGTATTTCAGAGACAGACAAATCATGGCTGAATGATCACCTTCACATTCCTTCCCCCTGGATTCTGCTGTGCTGACGTTAGTGGAACCTCCCCCAGTTGTTGTCGGCTGTTTCACATAAAGTGACGAGTAACAAATCCTTTTTAAAGTCAGTAATTTTTACAGCGTTATTCGATCTGGAAATTAACTACTTTGTTACTGCGTTACAGTAACGTGTTGGTCCCAACACAGTCGCCTTCATTTCAATGCTGTGTGCAGTTCAGTCAGACCGCTGAAAAGATAGTCGGCCACAGAGTAACCAGACATGGTTTTTAAAGCTCATCAGCTCTTTGACCTCTTGTTAATGCTTCTCCGTAATCATTTCTCAGTTTCACTCAGTCCAAGCTGTTGGTTAAGGTGAAGTATTAAGTACAAGTGGAAGAGCCCAGTGGTGGTTAACGTCTGCGTAACATCTGTCAGAGGGTGTGAACACTAAAGAGACAGTTTGAGTGCAATGACGACCACGCTGGTGTTTTTCATGTTTTGCATTTATATAAGAGCTTTTCCTATTGGTCAACTGAGGAGAGAGAGTCAATACATAAGAGCTCCTGTTAGGAGTGTTTATGTGGTTATGAAACAACCGTACATTAACACTGATGCCTCTCTATGACCTACTAAACCAGACTGTCAGAAAATGAGATTAACATTTTTTAGATTGTGAGTTTTAAAATCAACAAACTGTAACTTTTACATCTTAAAAAAGTTGATCTAGTAGTGCAACGACTTTAAAAAGGGAGAATAGTGGCAGAGGGCTGAGGTTCTCTATTGAGATATGGCTTTCGAGCACAGCAGCTTACAAAGCAGCCAGTTAGCTCGTCTCTGGACCGTTTAATACAACAACTGAGGCTAGGAGGAAGGGATGGTGACAGATGAAGCTAAGAAGAGAGAAAAAGAGAGAGTGAAGAAGCAGAGTGTATATCCCTGCAGATTTGACTCAGAACAGACGTAAGGTTAGGCTGTATAGTCATCATTGTCATCGTTGTCTAATGTTTAGCAGCTTTACCAGGTTCAGACATTCATCTAACCCAAGTTATGTCTCAGATTTACATACAAATAAATCCATCTTACACCAAAAAGTTGTCTCTACAACCCTAGACGCTAGCAGAGACATTTGGAAGTCCTTCATTTAGTTGCTTCAGTGTCGTCTGCGCTGCAAAGTGAAAGTAAAGATTCATAGTGAGCGAGACATTTGACTGTTAAAATGATGCCACTACCTTCACTTGTACAAAGAGATAAATGATAATTCTAAATGGACTTGAACTTTTCTAGTCTTCTGACTACTCAAAGTGCTTTTACGCCGCATGTCACACCTACGCAGTCACACTCTGATGGTAGAGGTTGCTATGTAGTATCTAATCACATTCATACACCACAGTCGAAGCAGTGGGAGCAACTTGGGGTTAAGTGTCTTGCCCAAGTACAACGGGCATGTTGCTGCACGAGCTGGGGATCGAAGCATTGACCTTCAGGTTGAGAGACAACGACTCTACCAACTGAGCCACAGCCACAGATAAGACGTACTGTTTGCCCACAGGGGGAAAATGTCCTAGTTAACGGTCTGATATGTCATGAGGAACGCCCCCCGGAAGTCGGAATTACGACTTAGAAACATAAATCAATCACACTGAGAGTATCGTGTTGTCATTTTATTTTTGCGCCCACACTATTGCGTACTGTGTTATCTTCTGGTATCAGCTAACAAAAGTACTCCTGGAAGTTGTTTGTCCAACTACTGGAACGCGGTTAACTCCTGTGTGATGTCATTCCCAGCTCCGAGATCTGAGTTCCTCGCTAATTGGAAGTGCACTATATTACATTTTGGAGGGTTGAAATGTCAATTAAAGCAGCATTTTTTTTTACCTGAAACAGTTGAAACAGAGACAGTTTTCAGGGCACTTGAAGTTGAACTTAATTTAACCACTTGAAGGATTTCTCTCTCTGTTTCTACTGTCTCCTGCCGTGCAGAGTGTACAGAGGAAGTTCAGTGAAAACATGAAAACGCAGAAGTCCTTTCCATTAGATTCCTTCAGTGCTTATTACGCAATAATGCATTTTTATTGTACACCACCTAATCTGTTATCGTCCTCTGCAGAGCGAGATGAACTTGTTTCCTGAGGCTTATTTAAAGTACACACTCCTGTCCTGCCTTCATCTCTCAGTCCTACATGAGGTGATCAGAGAGGACTCATACCTGGTGTGATCTGTGACCTGATCTTTAGTTTCCCTCCTTCGTTCAGGATGTTTTAAGTCTGTTATGTAACGAATGATAGAAATCACCATGTCACTTCCAAAATCTCTTTTTGGTTGTTTCACATGACATCCTCATTTCATCCCTAGGATCATTGTTAATACCTTAAAGTGTGTTGACTAAAAGTTGATGTTTTTGAATTGTTATTCAAAGTGTCCTCAAACATTACAGAAAGGATCCCCAGACCTTTTCGTAACAGAGGAAAATGTTTGGTTTTTTTTGTTTGTTTTTTAAACAAGCTGTTTCCAAGCTGTTTTTTTTTAAACAAGCTGTTTCCTAGCTGTTGTTCAGAAGTCGTTCTCAGACCAAGCACGGCGGGTGTTGTCTAGGCCCCCTCTTGATTGGTCACTCTATCATCACAAACTATGGTCGGCTATTTGCCTGTTCAGAGGCGTAATTTGTGGCACATTTCCTTTTTTGAGTTTCTTTAAGTGGTGATTTTGGACAAACACTTTTTGAGGCTTAATCAATTAAACAACCTCGTATTCACTCTGTAAAATATTCAAATGTTTGGAAGACCACTTAATTAATTTCTGACAAATCAATGAGAAACATATAAATGTAGATCTTAGGTTGTAAGAAGAGAAGGCAATTTAAACGGGATCTTACTGTTATCTCAGGATCTTATTTTGTCATGCACATTATGATGAGTATAGAGAGAGAGAGAGAGAGAGAAGATTTGCCTTTAAAGTTCCTAAACAGGGGTCATGTGGAGCGGTGGGCTGTTTCTCAGTTCAGCCATGTCCAGGTTGAAAGATTCCCTCCGACATTGTCCAACATTGCATAATACTTGTATAAAATCCCATGAGTGTGTTTTCTTTTGTTCAGGTCAAAAAGAGAAATGCCTCTGATCGATGGATCCAGCAGCAGGATTGGCAGGTAAATGCAGTTTTTTTTGTGTGTAATAAGAACAGGAACCAGGGCTAACCAGCAGAATCTTCTGGAGCAGAATAAAGCAGTATAACTTGGTGCCACTCGGGCCATGTAAGACGGCTGCAGTCCTCCAAGAGGTCGGCCCAGGTTCATATCAATCTTTGGCTCCTTTCCTGCATGTCATTCCCCACCATCTCTCTCTGGATTTCTGACTCTAGCTCTGTCCTAGCTCAAAATAAAGGCAGAAATAGCCAGAAATAAACCTTAAAAAAAGCAGCATGACTGTATTTAGAGGCACACGGTGAAAAATTGAATTACACTATTGTTTGCAGCTGCTTCCGTGTATTTTACTAAGCCTAATATAATCCATTCCTATCCTTTAGAATTAGGAAGTTCATAAGAGTATTTCTCTACGCTGATTAAAGCCAATACCAGGGCATAAATAAAGTCAGTGATTTGAAAGAGGCTTTAGAGAAGAAACACTGAAGCTGCACGCAGCATTGAAAATGTAAGCCAATCCAAAGAAGCATTACAATTATTTTGCATCTGTAAATACTTTTTTTTTAATTATGATTATTTCTTTTACCTTGCTTAGAATTGGTAACAAACTTACCTGTATGTTGGGCCGACGTCAGATCACGACGTTGGGCCGATGTCAGGTCCTGACTATTGATGTCCAAGTATCATCCTTACAGGGTTCAAAATGAAAATTTTCATGACGTCATTTTCCGACGTCTTTTCAAAGACAATTACAGACGTCTTAAGGACACCTTGTGGTTCAGAAAGAGAGTTTATATGACGTCTTTTTTAAACGTCTTTTTAACGTCCAAGAAAGATGTCACAAAAATTTCAATCCGAACCATATAAGGCAGTCCTGTAGACGTCGATACTGACTGTTAAAGATCTTAACGTTGGGCTGACGTCAGATCCCAACGTTGGGCTTCAGAGCAAGAGAGAGGGCGAGCGATAAGGTCCACTGTCCGTACACTCTTGTAAATGTATCCACACTTAAGCTTCTCCTGGCTCTGTTTTAACAATGTTAATGTACAGCTGCTTGCAGCCAATTCTGTGCTGAACTCCAATAAACAACAGAATATCTGTTAATGTAGGTCTACAGCTGCTTTCTGTTGATTCAGTACTGAACTACTATAAATAATGGAATATCGATTGGAACTTTTCAAAACATGAGGTGTACTCCTGTTGTTGTTTATGTCTGTGCACATGCGAGCATAAAGTGAGCAGATTAAAGTTGTTTGTTGAAAAACTAGATTAATTTAGAGGGGAAACACATTTGATATAAATACAACCCAATAGATACAAGACAGATAAGATAAGAAAAAAAAATTGTAGTTTTATGCTGAACGGGTATTCAATGTCATAAAGGGAATGTGTCAACATTACATGGTAGAATTGATCATTTAAATTAGATGGATGTTGTTTTCTTTTGTTGTCAGCTCAATGCTGAAAAGGAGTCAAGACATCACTAAAGCCTGGGGAACAAAGTCGGAGCAGCTGCTGAGGATAGACGACCACGACTTCACCATGAGGCCGGGGTTCGGAGGTGAGGAGCTTTATTAATCTGAACTGAACAGAGTGTTGCAGAGCCATTAGACCTCTGCTGCAAGATATTTCATCTTAAAGTCAACTTCCAGACGAGTCATTAGCCACATCTGTCGGTTTAGACTTCACCCCGTCCACCCTCTCCATCTGATCTATACACTCCTCTGGACGTGGGCGGAGGGCGAGTCCAGCTCTGGCTCGTAGAGATGACATAACAGGGTGGGATTAAGTCTGATCCACGATGCTGTGATTAATTATGACCGAGCTGCAGCAGTCTGTAGCTTTACATTTCAATAACTTCCATCTAAATCTGCCATGTAAGCAGCGCTCAGAGCCTGAATCTGTGAGATTTTTAAATTCTCACTCTCATACATTTTCTTTATGTTTGAAAATCTCCCCTGGAGTTTTTAAAGTCTTTACTCTGCTAACAGCTGTCAGTCTTTATATCTGCATGATCCCTGTGAACGACAGCTGCCCAGCAGAGAGTTAAAGGGAAAAAGACGTTGTTGAAACATATCAAATATCAACCAGAAATAAAGTGAAATCATTTTTTCTGGAGATAGTTGACTTCTTTTTTGGGAGGGATTGTTGTTCGGGTAAATAAAGTGAGTTAGCCACCATCACCACATTCAGCAAAATAATATTTATAAGAAATATATTGCGTCCACACTCAAATTAAAAATGATATACAGTTATTGAAACGCAAACCACAACAAGAAAAACATCAGTCCAGATTTGTAAAACGATACGCACGTTTTCAGCTCAACACTTTTTGCAAAACTTCTCCTCAGGCAAGACATGACGTAAAAGAGAACGACGTGAAGGTGGGGAACGAAGTAACAGAGTCCTCTGTATGACACTACAATGAGAATATTTTCCTTCATATAAATACCATGTGTAGTTCAACTGAATCACAATATCAACAAAGTCGAGTGCAGACAGTCTATGGTCGTGTAAAAGTCACCCCCCCCTCGTTTGCGCTCACTCACATGTAGCATACCCCAAAAAACTAAAGGAGTTTTGTGCAAGATGTGAAAGTACTCTTGAGAGAGTAAAAGTGTTGCAGAAATGTCCTGAGCCTGCATTCCTTCTATTAGCCAGCAGGGGAAACCTAACAGGTTGTAGAAATGTTCCTACTTCTCAGTAGATTTATTCCATCAGTAAACATTTTGTTGATTGTGTCAGTCTCTATTTTCAAGTCTTCTTCAACACAGCATGATGTTCCTTTAGTAAAGGATGGTCCCATTTAGAGTCAAAGAGACCAGAAAGGAAGATACTTAATCCTCTCTTCCAAATATGGTTACTGTTGGATCGTATAAAACAAGACAATGATGCTGTGTTTAAAGAAACTGGAGAAAACTTGTCAGTTTGGGTTGTAGTACTGTCTCTCTTCACATTTCTCTTTCGAGAAAACTATACGTCTCTGCTTTAACAGGCATTTGGATGAAGAAAAGCAGATTTAATAGTTTGACTAAAAAATGATAGGCATTAAACGGAGTCACAATCTGTAAACAAACGCAGATAATCCAGTCAGTTTCTACGTCTGTGTGAGTTTACACTGACGTCCACACGGGTAAATTAAAAGGTTCCTGCATATTTTTTTCCAGGACCTGCTGTCCCAGTCGGAGTGGATGTTCAGGTTGAAAGTTTGGATGCTATTTCAGAAGTCGATATGGTAAGCCCTGACTAAAGTGTTTTGTGTATTAAACGTGTTGTCGGTGGTCATAAGGTTTTAACAGACGTGTACTTCCTTGTTGAAGGACTTCACTATGACCCTGTACCTGAGGCATTACTGGAAAGACGAACGCCTGTCCTTCAGGAGCAACAAGAACCAGAGCATGACCTTCGACGGCCGCCTGGTGAAGAAGATCTGGGTCCCCGACATGTTTTTTGTCCACTCCAAGAAGTCCTTCACTCATGACACCACCACGGAGAACGTCATGCTGCGGGTTTACCCCGATGGGAAAGTCCTCTACAGCCTCAGGTGAGTCCCAACAGGAGTGACATGAGAGGACACAGTTAAACATTCACACACACTTTGCTCTTTCTTCCTCTGTCATCTATATTACACATCTAAAAGCCTAAATGTGGACTAAACAAATGTTTACTTGAAACACAGTAGAAAAACTATTTGTTTGTGTTTTCGGATGTCTGGGGTCACCAGAGTTTAGTGAAGTCAAGGTAGGGTCACGAGCCAGCGAGGTTGGGAACCACTGATTTAAACTGTTAGGATAAGAAGATTTTAATGCTGCCTCTGATGTGTTACTTTATGAAGCCAAAAATGATGATAACACTTCACATCAGATACCTAACGATACAATACGCCGACCTGTCGGGCTTTGCTTACATGCTGTTAACATGAGGGGACTGAATATGAAGTTAATATTATTCAGAGGTGATGCTGCTTTCAGAGAAAAGCTATTTATTTCTGCATGACTCATGTCTGACAGAATAGTTTAGAACACAATTTTAACAAAATTCAAAATGTCTGAACACAATTTTGTTCCTCATGATAAATGAGGGTGAAGCCCTGTTCTGGCTGCCTGTTCAAGGTGCCATATTTAAACCCCAGTGACGCCTCTCCTTTGATATGACTGTACAGAGAATGGGGGGATGAAGGGATCCCACCACAGAGGAGCTTTAAGAGCACAATCAAAAACTGAAAAGTGCTTTAGGAAGTGTTCCAGTGTGTGTGTGATTTATTTTAACAAAAGCGAGTCAGTGTTTTCTTATACCGTCTTTGCCATTGCACAGTGCGTTTGTGTGTTCTCTGGCAACTAGAGATACAGAGACAGACCGACTCCTTGGCAAGTCCAAGGAAACTTGGAAAGTGTTGTCTGTCTGTAAGGTGTAGCACGCAGGATTAGCTGTAAACAGTTGATTCACTCTCTGTGACATGACGGATTTATTGGCTTGTAGTCTAACAATAGCGTGCATAGTCCGTATCTTAAAAACATCGTCAACAAGGGGCGGGCTCAGGGCAAATCTACCTGCAGGATGTAGGCTGTCAACCCAATCACAAGTTGTAAATCGTACCAGGGATCTGCCCAGGAATGCATGCAGCTCACATAAAATTTAAAAACAGTATATATTGTTTTTCTGGGGGCAGATCTGTGATGACAAAGTATCTGAAGTTTACGCTTAATAAATGTTAAGTTAGGCTGACCATATTTTCAAACCTCCAAATTGGGACACTTTAATTTTAACGAGCAAACCCACAACGTCCTGGCACACAGAGCACTCACCAGGACCCCTCTCATCCACTCAGTCCAATCAGGTCAGAGATATAGGACTCTGACCTGGATAGGGCACATTAAAAAAAGAGTTTTGTCCCCTTGGCTATTGAAGCACTTATCAAACTCCCACATTGACTGTTGTATTGGCTGCTATGGTTACTGTTATGTGCTATGTTTTTGTCCTTGTGTAACATGCTTACCCATATAAATATATGTGTATCCATGTACCAACTGTACAAACTGTGACAACAGATTTCCTGCTGGGGGACAATATGGTATTGTGTTGTATCAACCCACAGATTGGTGACCTGCAATGGTCACTCAAGGTGGTAGGTAAAGGTTTCCTCCTGATACTTCCAGCCTGTACCCACTGTTTGTGTTCGCTTGTTTTAGTATGGCTTTGTATGTCCACATTTCCAACGTTGACATTGCAAAAAGCGACATATTCACTGCCTCTTTGGAAAACGCTGACTTCCTTTTTAGTTTCACAGCGAGCCTACGGACCTGTGAATATGATTAGATGTGTTTAATGAGCAGCAACCGCAACCCCGAGATTGATTGACACTCAACAGACACATCAGTATTGAGCTTTGACTCACAGTGCATTAGTGATGTTTTTCTACTGGTTAGAACAGCAACAGCCTTGGCAACAACATTGATTGACATATATAGAGACAGAACAGTTTTGCAAGCATGGTGCATTGTTGTGGTTGGTTAAAACTGGGACAGGGAATGTTTAAAACCGGGACATATTATTGTTTATAGACATTTGTGGGGACTCGAGACATGGAGCTTGAAAACAGGACGGTCTCGGTCAAATCGAGACATATAGTCACCCTTTGTAAAGTGTCCTTATTAGTCTGTCGACTCGGTAGAAAACGCATATTCCTCAGCCTTCGTAAAAATGACCTGGAAACAGTGTTAGACTCTAAAGTGTCTGGAGAGGAAATGAAAGGGTGGATGCAAAATTTGGCAGTGTAGAAATTCTGTCTGCGATATTTTAAACTGCCCTGGGAGTCACGTGCAATTCTCAGCAGGGAAGCATTTATCAGCATAACACCGGCATTGTGGAAATGTATTTCCCAATTGGATGAACAGGACGGGGAAAAAAAACCAATTCCATAAATAAAGTGTTGTCTGCCTTTCTTTTGTCAGGGTGGGAGGTCTCGTAGGGGTGTTGGTCCTCAAAACCAAATTAGAACACAGAAAACACTGCAGAGTATCTTAGCACAAGACACATGAAGTACACGTCCTACTTAGTCAGTGGGGCAGGTTATGATGTTAGTGGGTGGTCATGGCCAGGACAAAGTGGCTCCAGCTGCCACAGTACAAGACTTGAATTTAAGGGGATAAAGTTCTGCCAATTAGGAGCGCTAATACCCCCGAGCAGGAACTTGTAATTTTGGTGAGCGATAGGAGGCTCGGAGCCAAGAGAGTTGAATCAGTAATCCATGTTACAGAGTCTGGCAGAGATTAACAGCTGGCCATCTGCCTCCTCTTCAGACCCCCGGGGGGCACAGCGGTGCCTTCATGACAGACAGGAACGAAGAAAACTCAACTGATGATGTCAACATCCACCAATCTGCATTCAGCAACATTCAAAGACTGAAATATCTGGATTTTATTTCTGAGGGTGATGATAGAGCAGCCTACATAGTTTGAGTTTTATCCACATCTCAGATATTAAAGTTTGTGATCTTTTTGGGACTCTGAATAAAGTTTTGTCTTTATGTGGACTACGGTTCTTTGCTTCTTGGTGAACGTATATTGTGTTTATGAGGGAAAATATGTGATTGCAAATAGCAGATATAATCATGCATCCTGATTACATGACCCCGGTTAATCTGGCCGTTGGTGCTGGTTGAAGATTTTCCAGACCCAGGCAGATTGAGGATGACAGTTTGTCCAGCATCCTGCATGCCGCGTGGTCGTCTCTGCTCCTGTGAGCTGGATTATCTGTTTTCATTTATCATCTCTCCGCAGAAGCCCCCCACCCACTTCCTCTCTGCCTTTTAGTAAGGAGGGCTCATGCTCTGCTGGAGGTTACACATGCATTATGAGCAAATAATGGATATTCATTTATATTGTCAATCACCAAATCAAAAGTACAGACATCTTTGTTTGTAGTTTTAAACTACAGGCCATGTTCTTTTTTACATCTGTGGGGCTTTATTGAACATCAAAAGTCAAAGATTTTCTCCCACAGATTGTTGCATCCCAGAGCAGTAAGATAGACGAATGGCTACTATGTTCATTTGGTGGCAAATGTTCCTGATTAAAGTGCATACACTAAAAGTTTTTATACCTGTTAAGTGCCGAGTCCTGCACACCCTCACTGGCCCCTTTAGAGTTTAACGTATACCATATTTATATTTATATTGCCTGTTTTTTAAACTCACTGTCCTGTGTCCTTGTCCAATTGTACTGTCTACAACCTCTTGCAAATGTTTTCCAATGTAGTTTTCATGCTACAAATGACAATTAACTGAACTGAACTGTCCTGAACAGAGACCTGAGGCAGGACAAACACAGTGTAACGTCTTGTTCAACTATTACTCATTCAATGCAGTAATCTGAGTACTAAGAGATGGCAGACTAGACACCAGAGGAACTAAAAACGCCATGCAGAAAAGGTTCATAACTCGGGGAAGAAAGGGGCGATGAAGCAGCATGATGTGTATAAAACTTAAGCTGCTAATATAGTAAAATAACTAAACCTAGATTATGAAAGTAGGAGGAGCTACAGCTACACTATGTTTAAATAATCGTATGATGACACTATTCTATGCATTTTTACACATTTCCTGTGGTTGTTTTTGAATGATGTTGTTTTTTTTCTTGCACCTTGTGGCATGTTGCATGTTTGACCACACCTGCAATCATATTAATGGTTAGCAAATGTATCTATATATACAGTATGGATGGGTTTTACCTCAATTTGTTTTGCAAAAACTATCACCTTACGAAGACAGCTGGGTCCAAGCGTTGTGATAATTGCTGCTTTTTTTAGGCCGTCTGCACATCAGTGACAAGCGTATAACCATCTTCCTTCATTCTTTTTTTTAGGGTGACAGTCACATCAATGTGCAGCATGGACCTGAGTCGCTTTCCTCTCGACACGCAGACGTGCTCTTTGGAGATAGAGAGCTGTAAGTGCACACATTTTCAGCCAACTGTTTTCTGATTATTCCTCCGTCTCTGGAGAGTGTAGGAAGTCTCATGCTCATTCAAAAAGCAGTGGTGAATTCCTCCTGTTTTTTATGACACTGTGTTTTCTGGATTAAGGTAATGGGGTTGATTACATGTGATTTGTTTTGCAGATACTCAGTTGCTTGTCTTTGTCTCTCTCCAGATGCGTACACAGACGATGACCTGATGCTGTACTGGAAGGAAGGGAACAGGTCGTTAAACACGGACGAGAGGATTTCTCTCTCCCAGTTTCTCATCCAGGAGTTTCACACCACCACCAAGCTGGCCTTCTACAGCAGCACAGGTACTGACAGGTAGTGAACAGCCTTCTATTCAGGCAAGTCTTCTTACAGGTTATCTTACAGCTTTATCTCTCTGTCTCCAGGTTGGTACAACCGTCTGTACATCACCTTCACTCTGCGGCGTCACATCTTCTTCTTCCTGCTGCAGACCTACTTCCCCGCCACGCTGATGGTCATGTTGTCCTGGGTGTCCTTCTGGATTGACCGCAGGGCCGTCCCTGCCAGGGTGCCGTTAGGTGAGATTTCTTCACTTAACAATTGTGACGGTAATATGACGAGAAGATATACACAAGGAAACAGGAACACAAGGGTTTTTGTCAGAATAAAACAGGAAATCACAATTTAACATAACATGGTTAAAGGAGCATGTAACTGTGACATGTAGTGTTTAAAACGGGTACTGCAGTCTTTATTTAAAACACTGGAGAGAGCTGCCTCCCCCGCTCCCTCCTCCCTAGATCCCTAGTCTCACGCAGGTCGCCATGTTGCAAACACTGTAGCTTCAGTGTTTAGCCAGCTCTGCATCAATGTTGATCCTAGTTTGAGCACGTTTCCAACAGGTGTTGCAGCGATAGAAGCGGGGATAAATTGGAGATGCTTTTGTGCAGAACTGTTTCAAGACCGATGCAGAGGAGGTTAAACACTGAAGCTTCAGTGTCCGCGTTACATGGTAACCCGTGTGAGCGTCGAGGGGCGAGGGGTTGACAGCTCTCTCAAATGTTTTGAATTAAGACTGCAGTACCCATTTTAAACACTAGGTGTCAGAGTTACATATTACTCCTTTAACATGCACCAATGATTTAGGATAGGATAGGATAGTACTTTATTGATCCCCAGAGGGGAAATTCGGGCGTTACAGCAGCACAGACAAGAAAGCTCAAATACACATTAAACAGAATAGATAAGATAAACAAAAAATAAATAAATAAATAAAAACAGGGGGTATATACAGTACAAAATGAATGATGAAGTTAACTGGGGGGAATTGAGAGTTGAGACAGTATTTGCAGAGAATGACAACATAAAGTGACAAGTGATTAAAGTGACTTGGTATGATAAATAAATAGCAGCAAGTAATGTAAACAGCAGAGAAGAGAGGCAGTGTTGTACCACAGTACTGCAGAGTGCAGTTATATAATATAATGTAGTATAATATAATATAGTGCAATATGAACAATATAGTGTAATATAATGAAATGTTATATAATATAGACTAGTATAATAATATAATAAAATATATAGAATGTACAGTATATATGTATATATATATTGACCTAAATAATAATAATAATAATACAATAATACAATGATAATAATGAAGCAGGTCATGTGGGTAGTGTTTTATGGGGGTGAAGTTTAGTGTCAAGGACGGACTGTTATTGTTGTCATAGGCTGCTGTTGTACAGTCTTATGGCAGTGGGCACAAAGGAGTGCCTGAAGCGCTCTGTTTTGCACCTGGGGGGGTTGAGGCGTTGGCTGAAGGAGCTGCCCATCTGCCACAGCTCACCATGTAGAGGGTGAAAGGAGTTATCCAGAATGTCCAGATCCAGACCCACTACAGAGCGGGCCTTCCTCACCAGCTTGTTCAGCCTGTTTGCCTCACCAGTCTTGATGCCACCCCACCAGCACGCCACAGCAAAGAAGAGGGCACTGGCCACCACAGACTGGTAGAAGGTCTTCAGGAGTCTGTTGCAGACACTGAACGATCTGAGTCTCCTCAGGAAGAACATCCTGCTCTGTCCCTTCCTGAAGAGGGCTTCAGAGTTGTGAGACCAGTCCAGTTTATTGTTGATGTGGACCCCAAGGTACTTGTATGAGTCCACCCTCTCCACTTCCTTCCCCTGGATGATGACTCGGGCAGGGGGCCTCTTCTTCTTCCGGTAGTCCACTACCACCTCCTTTGTTTTGCTGATGTTGAGCTTCAGGTGGTTGCTTTTGCACCATGTGACGAAGCTCTCTAACAGTCCTCTGTACGCCTTCTTGTCGTCATCAGTGATGCACCCAACAATGGAGGAGTCATCGAAAAACTTTTGGAGGTGGCAGGAACCAGAGTTAAAAATGTGAAGAGAGTGAAGAGAAAAGGTGCCAGAACAGTTCCTTGAGGTACTCCTGTGTTGCCCGTCACTACATCAGAGACACAGCCGTCGACTCTGACATACTGTGGCCGGCCCGTGAGGTAGTTGAAGATCCAGGCTGAGGTGTCAGGGTGCAGCTGCATATCCAGCAGTTTGTCCCTCAGGAGGCAGGGCTGGATTGAATTGAAAGCACTGGAGAAGTCAAAGAACATGACTCTCACAGTGCTTCCCTTCGTCTCCAGGTGTGACAGGGCTTTGTATGTCAGGAAGATGATAGCATCCTCCACACCAATGTGCCTCTGATATGCAAACTGCAACGGATCCTGGAAAGCAGTGAGCAGGGTCCTCATGTGCTGGAGAACCAGCCTCTCAAATGTCTTCATGACATGTGACGTGAGTGCCACAGGTCTGTAGTCATTGAGAGCACTGGGACGACCTTTCTTTGGTATCGGGACAATGCAGGAGGTCTTCCACAGGTCAGGCACCTTCATCAGCCTCAGGGAGAGGTTGAAGAGGTGCTGAAAGACTTCCAAAGACTGCCCAGCACACACCTTCAGGATTCTGGGACTGATGTTGTCTGGTCCACTGGCTTTTCTGATGTGGAGTCTGGAGAGTTCTCTTTGTACCTGGCTGGTAGTAAGAGTGAAAGTGGGACAGTGAGCGGGGGAGGGGTGTGGGGAACTGTCTATTGTCATGCAGGTACCTGAAGGGAGGGAGCTGGGGGGTGAGGGTGAGGGTGGGCTGTCCTTTGAAGCTGCTGATGAGGAGCTGAGAGAGGGGGGGGGAGGTGGTCAAGACCTTGATGGGAGGAAGAGCAGAGTTTCCAGCAGAGGTGTGAATGGGGGCTGAGGTGGTGGGGGGAGACCTTCATTTCGTCTGCTGCATACTCAAATGAACAGTAAAAAGCTAATTTATGAAATTTTAATTTTAATTAAAAACATAAGGAAAGCATAATTTCAAGTCCTTCTCGTGTCGACTTTTTAATCGCCCATCGTCGTATCTTCTCAAAAATATTTTGTCGTGTATTGTTTCTATTGGACCACCTGTTCTCTTCATGGTACATCCATATTGAAGTATTCTGATGACTCATGATAAACTTGTGCTGGAACATTAATTTACCTTCCCTCACATCAGATGTAATTTTAACCTGACCAGCTAAAGTCACCTCTCATATGGAACCTTATTGGACTGTTAGCTCGTGTTAAGCTATCAGAGATATCAAATAAAGACTGTTTTCTGAACTCGTCGTGTTTCAGGTATAACCACGGTGCTCACCATGTCCACCATCATCACTGGAGTGAACGCATCCATGCCGCGGGTGTCCTACATCAAAGCTGTGGACATTTACCTGTGGGTCAGCTTCGTCTTTGTCTTCCTGTCGGTGATAGAGTACGCCGCCGTCAACTACCTGTCCACCCTGCAGGAACGCAAGGAGAGGAAGCACAGAGAGAGGGTCAGTACGAGTCACCTTCAGGTTTATGAATGCCCAGAGGTTCATGTATATTAACTGAAAGGTTACTTTAAAGCACAATGTCAGTTTAACCAGGCTATTGTTCATGGTTCTGAGGATGGAGATGTTAATAAGTCTGCTTTCACTAGAGCTGGGTAAATCCATAGTCCACCCAGACCGAGACTGAGACAAGGCCAAGTAAAAATTGCTTTCAATTCGGAGACCTTCAGAAAGTGGTCCCGAGACCGGTCAAGACCATTTTTCGAGCACTACAACACTAATGTTAGGGATAACTTTCTCAATTGATTTGCTGTAAGAGGAAGAGACCTGACGGGGAATGACACAGAGTTATAGTTTTATTAACAACCTGAAATATTTGGGGATTTAGACAACACATTTGGGGAATAAGCCAAGATTTGCCGCCCCTGCTCTGCTGTTTTCTTAATTCATATTTGTTAATTCCTGTCGCTGTGTCTTTTGGACAAAACCTCCTTTATGTATGTCGCTCTGCTAAATTAATTGTAAAACTGGTTCTTCTCCCTCTTTCTGTTCAACAGCAGTTTGGCAAACAGGCCATCTAATGCGGATTTCACTAACACTCAGAACACGCTGTTGCACTTTACTCACACTTTAACACTTTGGGGTTGTTTCACTCAGTTAAGACCCTTTCAAACCAAAAAGGACTCTTCCAGCGTACCCCAGGATGTAGTGATTAACACATAGGAGGACTTGCAGACGTGACATGTTGGAGGAATTTTTAAAATATACTGAAATTAGCTTTCTTGAACTCTCCAAACATCTCACCTCCAAACATGTAGGCATGTTGATGTTTTCAGGCTATATGCAGGTGTTTTATTTCAGAAACGGTCTTCATTTGTCTTTGAATCCACTTTTTTCTAAAACAAGATGAAGATTTCATAAAAATCTTTGGACGTCTGAATTATGCGTTTCTTGGGTGAAAAGACTTGCGTTACATTTTTTTGTGGACATGTTGTGATCTTGGGGCACTATTAACCATTTGTTGTCTGCCCGCAGCTGCCATGTACGTGTGGTTTAGCTCATCCTGACATGATGTCCTCCAGCTACAGCGAGGTGGACGCCAACAATACAGGAAGCTATGGCATGCCAGAGGAGAACGGCATCAAGCGGGAGAGGATGCTGGTGCAGCTGGCGATGGAGAGCGACCAGATCACCGGACACGTGGGCACCAGCGCGTATAGCAACGTCTGGATCGACACGCACGTCATAGACAAATACTCCAGAGTCCTTTTTCCTGCATCTTACATTCTCTTCAACGTCATCTACTGGTCCATCTACTGCTAAGACAGACCTGAGGCTCAGTGAGCTCCAAACACTTAAAGTGTCAAACTCTGCCTCCAGACTCGTCAAAGTGGAAACCAGAGGAGCGGAGACGTGTGCAATGAACTTAAAGTTGTTCTGGACATAAGAATGGAGTGCAGTGCCCGTCTTCAGGTAGAGTGGACCCCCAGACACAAAAACATTTAAACCTAACACAGGAAGCATCCAATCAGGTTTCTGGCATTTTTCCAGCGAGGACCAGCTGAGAGCAAAAACTGGAATAACTTCTGTCACACAGTAAAAACAGAAAAAGTTACCCTTTGTGGCTTTACCATGGGGCCATTTTTGAACCTTGTTGTGAACTTAAAGGATGTCAAATGTTCGCCAGGAAGCAGCTACGCCTGGAAACTTTTGGATTGAACAGTTTGTAATCTGCTATTTGTTTTTTAGGGATCAGGGCTTGATAAACTGTATCTAAGGGCTCGAAACAGATTGTAGCTAGAGCTTGAGTTATTCACTGTTGCTTTTGTTGCATCTTTAAACTCTGAGGGCTTTTTTTTAAAGGTTATAACACAAGTTCTTATATTTTAAATCAGGTTTTCATAATGAAAATGATCTGATCTCTGTGTGTGCGTGTATTGACGGTGCTACGGTGGCCCAGAAGGTAAACTGCACAATATTTCATGATTGCAAAAAAACATTTCTCCAGAGCCCAAAATCATTTTACTCTATTAAAATAGAAATATTATGAAACACAGACACATTTCACTTAGGATACTGAAAAAAAAAGTTGAAATATTTTTTACACGAGTGGAGTGTTTTTGATGTTACATTAAATATTTGTAGGTTTATTTTTAATTTAGTTTCATTTAATATTTTTGCATTTTGTGAAGTGTTTTTTGCGATTTGTGCAGTCGACCTTCAAGGCCACCATACATTGAGCGTGTGTGTGTGTGCTGGTGAAAACAGTCTCACACAAAACATTGAGGTTTCTCTCTAAAAACAGCAGCAGATAACACGGCTGGACTCAGGAAACACTCCAAGATTTGATTCCCTTCTGCATGTATAGATACACTTTAACATTTGAGTTTAGCAGCAACCAGCATACAGGAACAAGACCAGCAGCAGCAACTTTTAAAATTTATCCTTGCTTTAGCTCCGAGGGTCCCTCACAGTGATGCAGAACGACAAAACAGCTTTACGAAATGGACTTTCTCCTATAGCTCATTTTTTCCAAATGTTGCAGAGTTCTCTCTTCAGTGTAGCATTTTATCTGTCAGCATGTTTTCTTGTGCCAGAAGGGACCATGTTAGCATGAAAAGGGTGGAGCTGGAGAGAAGTGAATGGTGAGCAGATGTGACATTAGAAAGGTGCGTTCATTATTCTCAGGGATTTTAATTGGGATGCTATTTGTCATTTCAAACACAGAAAAAAGTCTTAAATGGAACGAAAATACAAACAAGGCGACTCCTCGTAGTTTCCTAAAGTACAATTAAAATTAAGACATTCATGAGGACGCTGTGATAGCCCCGCCCTAACTCCTCCCCTCTTTCTGGTCTCTTTGACTCTAAATGGGACCTTAATTTACTAAATGATCATCATGCTGTATTGAAGGAGGCTTGAAACTGGAGAGTGAGACCATCAACTCATTAGGAAAATGTTTATTGAGGGAATTAATCAACTGACAAGTAGGACCATTTCTCAGACTCAGACCCCTTTCACCAAGTTGGTTCTAGGGCTCTTTTAGAGCCAGTGCCTCATGTAGAACCGGTTCTTTGTGTATCGACTGCCAATGAATAGGCTCCGATCCAGAAAAAACTGACAGAGTAGCTCCAACTCCTTGCTGTTCTAAGAGGTCATAAGAAGCGCTTATGTTGGGGGCTGGGGGCGGGGTGATCATGTCTAAAATAAACCATACAAAAACCATGTCTTCTGAAAGGTAATCACCATCTAAAGCAATCCTGACGAGCAGAACAAACTCATTGGACCTGTCGTGTTTGAATGCCGATGAAGGTTTGCAAAGCCAGAAGCAGTATTTTAAACGAGATGCTGTAATCTTCCATTGTTGTTCTGCTTGAAGACGGCACGCAAGTGGTGCTGTGAAATCACAGGCGTAAATAGTGATGTAATGATGTGGCTGTTTTGCAGCCTTTGCCCGTGGAAAAGCAAACTGGTTTTTAGACGGTTTGCAAGTTGAACCACCTCTGAACCAGCACTAGCACCAGCCGGGAACTAGCCCCAAGTTCACTTTGGTGGCAAAGGGGTTTTAGACTTTGTTATAACCAGTGCAGCCTCCCCCTGCTGGACATTTAAAGGATTGCAGGGTCTGTGCTCTACCACACTCCTGTCATGGTTTAAGATCTGCAGAATACATTTATACAGTCAAATCAAAAGTGGAAGGAGTTTCAGGCTTTTGGACCATTTGGGATCTTTAAAAAATGCCATGTAGAGATCCGGACTATGGAAAGCATCAGCTAGAGATTGTTTCGTCCTTATATACGTCTTGTGACGTGTGAAGAAACTGAAACTGTCAGTAACGTTTAATGCATTTGAGTCACATCTTCAAGGTTTCATGGTGGAATGAAATCTTCTGATTGGACTAAATGTTTAATTACATGCATGAATATTCACTTTAATCTCATTCATGGACCTTTTTCTACTTTTCCACTTCTCCATCTGTTGTAACTCTTCTCATCTTCACCTCCACATATTAAAACATGTGATGACTCGGATATTTCAGTGTGAAGATTTATTTTTTGTTGAAGGCAAATAACGTGACGTAATTTGGAAATCAGATTCTGTTGCTGAGCTTGGGATCATCTGACATGTTGGAGTGAAATCTGAGTGATCAGAAGATGAAAGACAGTCTCTCTTTCTCTCTCTCTCTTTTTAATAATAATATGCTGATAAACGTGCAAGTTAAGGTAAAGATCTATCCTTTTAGCTGGTCTGCAGAAGAGGGATAGTTTTATTTTTTTCCTCCCATTGGGTTCTCTGCTTGTTATAAACAAGGTGGTCTTACTGTTTACTGACCTGACAAGTTATTTTACAGACCTAGTGCATTTTAAAGCTGTTGTCTTTCTCTTCAACTTTTCCAATCACAGGAATACAGTTGTAATGAAATACTGCCCCCCATAGGATGTTTGTAAAACTGCATGAAGTTACTGTTAGTGTTAAGTCACTATAAACTTATCACTATAATAAAATATTATTACTGGAGGATTACAAGGGCAAATGAAATGAACCTAATGGGTTTTAGGTGTCATGATACATCTCCCCTGCATTTGAAGTAAACTGATTGCCAGTTACACTTAATTTCCTCCATACAGTATGTATTTATCTATATTTACTTTCCTGTCTCTACAATAAATGCCCAAAAAGCCCTAAAAATGATTCTTAAAAAAAAAAAAAAAAAATCTGTGTAGTCCAGAATAGACATAAAAGAGCCAGCGACCAGTTTGTTATTAGAGTCAATAGAGAGGCAAGATTTGATTCTGAAATAAAAACCAGTTTCAGTTTGAACTTTTTTACCGACAGCTGAATATGAGGAGTATAAACAAGACTTATCCATTAAAAAAACACAAATACATGTGAAGCTCGTAACAGACTGAGATCCCTGAGACGTGAAGATGGAAGGAATATTTAAGAAATCATCGCTGAAAACAACGAGTAATTTGGGGTGAGTGTTCACATATTGTGGTGTTTTAAGTATTTGGTCTATCTAACTAGTGACGATGTACATATAACAAATTAACAGTTCATCAAGCAGTTATGAATAATCATGACCGCTTTCACAATCATACCAATCAGAACTTTGAACTTTGGGTCGCAGCAGCACATCCAGAGCCGTCATGGCCAGAGGCTTCGCCGTCCGCACGGTGAAGAACTGAGCTCTGTCATCGCCTGAAACAAACACAGGAGAAACAGCAAAGACTAAGCTGAGTGAGGAGCCTATAACAAGACTATGAGACGGGAGCTCCTGCAGGGTTCACTTTCTGTTTGTTTTAAAGATGATTTTATTCTTCACATTTACAAAGTTTCAGCCTCTTAGAAGAAGAGACCATTTTTAGTTGAATGTGGATTATATTAAGCGCAATGAGATCTTATTTTACTAGTAATTAGACAAATACAACGGTTAAAGTTGGAGTTTTTGAAGCGCAGGCAGCTAATGAACCATACACACCTTCACACCTTCATGAGAGAAGCAGGCAGCAGGGTGAGGGTTACAGTATTACAAAGACTCAAGCTGTTTTCATTATTCATAAAGAAAGAGATTTAAACAGAACCAGGATCATGAGCTTGTCTCACCAGAGGCCACGGTGTACTCCTCTGTGTGGTTCAGAGCCTTAGAGCCGATGTAGAAGTACGGATGAATCCCAGGAACAACAAACGTCACGTTTCCAAAGTCTGTGGAGCCTGAAGACAAGAAAGACGGTCACATTTTATCCTCCTTAACAACCAGTGTAAATAAGTCTCAGAGCTCCTCAGAACATGTGTGTGAAGTTTCTTGTTCTAAATCCACTCTGATCCTGTATTTGATCATGTCTATAAACCCCCTCTATTTCAGCCCTGCTCAGAACAGACTGTTTCTGTGTCTGTACCTTTAAATGCAAATAAGCTGTATTGAACCTCAGACATGTAGACGTTTTTACCCCAACATCCTGATTCTATTTTCCTTTCTGTGGCTTGTTAAGACATGGATGAGGAACAAGGAAGGAGGGGGCTCTACAATCTCAAAGCGCATTGGCTCATTTTTTTTTTTTTTTTAATGAGTCTCACCAGAAGCGTTGTTCAGGACTTCTTCATCCGTGGTGAACTCCATCCCCAGAGCCTTTCCATTGTTCTCGTACAAATCCTCCAGAGTTTTATTCCTCAATATGTTGTCGAATGCATTTCTGGAATACTCCACTTCAACCTGAGGAGGACAAAAAGAGTTAAACGTCTGCACAAACTGCAGATCTCTCTTCATGTTTTGAATTGTTTAATACCCAACATCCAGTGGCCTCAGCAGCTGCTCTGAAACA